TTTTTTTTCGTTGACTTGTGTTTTTGTCGGGGGTTTAAATCGATGGGATGAGAGGTATGAGGGTGTTATGTTGAGGGTACGGTGGGAGGAAGGGGTGCATTGTGTAAACGGGTGCGTCGTTCTTGAGTGCTGGTGCATTCGTTGCCTCGTGTTGTCCTTCTAGAAGAGGTGCGACTATGAAACACAGCTATAAAACAACTCAACCAAAAACCTTTTTCTTGTCCACGTGCAAAATGTGCATCGCATCACACAACGATGATTTATTTTCCGAACGCAGATCCACCAAAAGCGTACCACGTACAGCAGTACTTGGGTCCACGTGCTTGCCAACCAAGAGAATGAGCGGTGTTTGGAGGTAGNGCCAACCAAGAGAATGAGCGGTGTTTGGAGGTAGCCCGACGTGGTAACGCTAGCTGCGCAAGTGACATGCATGATACGCTCTCTTCATGACCTAGTTTGGCATTCGAGTGTAGTTAGTGCGCGAGAGTCCCTGTTTCACGACCTCTAGTTTTGTCTACGATATAAGAGAATATTCTCTTGTAGTGAGATACTGTTTAAGAGAATTCGCTCTTATACCGTAGCCAACGCGATATAACAGAAAGCCGGATTTAAGAGAGTGAAATTGGATTGTACCGACCCTCTCTTAAACCGTAGCCGCTACTGTACTCCGCTCTCAATCAGGCGAAAACCCTGTTGGTAGTGAATGGAGACGCCAAGGCCATTGAGGGTTTACGATATGGCCATTTCACCGATGTCGAGAGCCAGAAGTACACCCCACGATACACATCCTTGCAGGACATACCCTGCAGACCGCGCTGCCCTCCCAGGATCTTCGACGAACCAGCACGTCCTGCTTGAACGAACGAGAAATAATAGTTGGCAGAGACAGGGTCCGGAAGCTGTGGTCACGAGAGACCAAAACAAGTCTACGGTAAAGGCGTTTCCCAGGTGCATCTGGTTCACGCCAGAGCGGGAGGCATCTTAACCTTGTGGAAAAGGGCCGGGGATCTACATGTAGTTTACTGTACATAGAACCGGAAGTATGTGGCGTGCGGTTGTTAGAGGAAGCGAACGATATCCGCCTGCTCCTAAGGGCACGCTCTTTTCAGTCTTCTCAAGAACTGAGGTTAGCGCTCCCGATTTTACAGTAAATTTGTTGGTGCATTCACAAGAACATGAAGCTCATTTCTTACGCCGTGGGCTCAACATCACCTTGCTTTGGTGGGCCCGTTTGATTTTGAGGCCTCTCGGTTGACTTCCCTATCTTGTCTGCAGTAGCACTGGCTCATCAAGCAATACAGTTAACCCCGCTTTGAAGACACACCACGTTTTCCCCCAAAAAAGTGTCTTTAACGCGGGTAAGTGGCTTTGAAATTCCGGGGCCACGAACGCACCATCCCCGGGGCCGATGAAGGCGAAACATATGTCAAAAGGTGCGCATTCGCAACAGAAAGGCGACCACAAGAGGTGTTGTTTGAAACCTACGACACAAGGTGATGTGAAGGTCGCAACCACTGCTGCTGCTACTGTGCTGCTATACATACTTGCATACCACCATCGTTTGAATTTCCCCGTACTGTACCAAAACGCTCAAAGCGATGGTGTTCTACGACCTACGCATCGTACATGTACACGACGGTAGTGCGCTGGTGTTGATATGGGCTTAAGTATTTGCTTTATTGTGTTTTTTAGGCGTTGTCCTCCCCGTGAATATCTTGCCCAAGATCTCGCTGCCGCACCTGAGAAATATCGAAGGTTGTGAAACGACACTAGGAAAATGTAGGATACGCGGAAACACAGAGATCAAAAATGTCGGGAAAGCACAGCGACAAAGAAGACACCGCGCCTCCCAAAAGGTCAAAACGAGCACTTTCTCTGTTGTCCGTGGCCTTCCTCTCCGATGCCCCGACCACAAAACGCGTGCATGGGTCGCCCGCACGGACACTGATGAACCAGTGACACCAGTGCAGATTTGAACTGGCACGTCGTCGGGTCGCTGCATGGCTTCAAGCCGGCAGCAGACGAACCGCTAGCAGATGGAATGAATCTTTCCATACACACACAGGCAGTGTGCGGCTACAGCGGATGTGCGGCTGCAGCAGACCGCTGTTGATGATCCAGGATCTACAGGTGCTGCATCACATTTTCTGGGGGGGGTCGAATGGTGGAAAATCCTACTCCCCCTACTTTTTCACATCTGCGGGGCACCATGTCTCTGAGATTTTTTGTGTCCTTCAAGCGGGGAGTGTCTTTAAAAATGGTGTCTTTAAAGCGGGGACGACTGTACACACGTGGTGTGCAGTACACCGACGACCAACATATGGGTGTCGTCGGCGCGGAGATGTTCACGCGCTCTTGCTCTTTTGCACCCACTATCCAAGGCGGTGGCCGGGGAGACGAAGGTGGCGGCTGAGAGGAGACCCGCTAGCCCATCACCTTGAGCGAACAAGCCAAAACCATGATGCCGAGTGACTCGTTTGTGTTGGGTAAACCTCAACCTGCAACAGGAGTGATTTGGACGAGGCAGAGAGGACGGACGGAAGCGTTCATGTAAACAAGTTGGAGCTGTGGAACGCAATGGCGGGTAAGACAAGATGAATACAGTATTTGTAGCATAAGTCGAACAGCCATCAATACGGACAGATGGAGAGGGAGGACCATGAGTGTCCTATTACACTCACTCCTAGAACAACAATGTATTTCTGCTGTAACTATATGCATAGACTACATGGTACGACTTTTACTGATGTTTCAGTAGCATGTGTGTACAGCAGTATCTCCTGTCGACCTTGCCTGAACCGGTACCCTTCCTTCGACATCTCGACGGATCAAACACTGGCCTCTGCATCTCATCTATCCCTCCTGTTTTTGCTTCAATACGGCAGCAGCAATACCGTATGCGACACAAGGTAACACACCCCCTGGACGATTTTCAAAGCTTGATTAATCAACAGCAGAAAGAGTCGCGGCGCCGAAGATGGTGGCGTTGAACCTGTTTGGTGCAGAGCTCTCCCAAACCGTATCGTTTCGTTTTTGCATCCTTTTTGTGGCGGAGTAATTGAGCTTTGAAAATCGCTCTAGGGGGTGTGTTATCTTGTGTCACGTACACGGTACGCCCTGTGCTGAAGATCGACCGATCGATATTATCGAACCAGCCACGGTGGATGTAGGCGCAGATGATGTGTCCTACCCCAAGAACACACAGCTGATACAGAGGAGGTTCTATCAAGCGGGCGACAACCCACTTGCTGTACCTGACTCTGCATTTATGAATGCCGCCGGTCGTTTGCCTCTCTCTCTGCTTCGGTATTTGTTACTCCACTAAAATTTGCACCGCGTTTTTTTTTCACATAATCGAATCGCCTCCATATCAATGGAAGTCCCCCGTGGGAGTCGGCTCTGCTGTGCGTCGAGCGAGCCCGAGACCACTGCACTTACACCTCACGCTCTCCTCGTTGTCTACTCCGCCAGAGCATCCAAGTCAAGATCGCATCGGAAGGCTCACAGCAACAACAAAAGGCAAGGCCGCTGGATGACGGGATGAGCACCTTTTGTTTGAATTGGGCCGTCGATGCCGCGGCGCATCACCATGCTTGTGCGTTGTTGCCATCAGAAACCACACTACCACTCAACAAACCGAACGTAGACGTTGATTGGGTGCCGCTCATCGATGGGATTCTGCGGCCGGTTCATAGTTTATCATCTCCACCGTCGATTGGATGTGTTCCTGCTGTACTTGGCAGTGACTTCGATCTCATTCAGCGATCCCCATGCTTGCACACCTCCCGAATACGCTTGCGATAGCATAAGGGGCATCCATGGCCACCTCCAGCGATCCCCACACTCCACTCAGGGAGCCCAAGAGGAAGAGGGACATCGGCCTGGACATCTTCGGATTGTGCTCGGACGATGATGTAAGACGATCAGCGTGGTGTGATGGACATGCTTTCCGTGAGATTTCAGGTCGTCCATTCTGAAAGCGAACCTTTTGTCTCACACCCAGTCACACACACAATCACACGATGATGCACCCTCTCCCCAGCCATGCATCCGTCCGTGATCCCATAGGACTTTTGCAGTCCCCCAGGGGCGACGCGAAAAGTGAGACCCACAACACGTTTCACCCCACGGTAACCGAACGCAGCGGCGTCACCATGTGGACCGAAAGTGAGAGAAGATCAGTTCCCACCGATTTCTGATTTCTGATTGCGATGCTCTCCCTAGCCTGCTTCATTTACGCCGTCTCATCTGTCAACATAGAGTGCGCCAACGCTCTCTCTTTCCCACCGCAAGTCCACCTTCCGTCATGTTTTCAAAATGGTGACCGGACCCACGAGAAAAGCGTAGGACCGTTCTCATGCAAGCACGAAATTAGTGGGCTGTGCTGTGCGTGATATTTTGATGTTGACTCTAGGCGAACAGAGTGACAAAGTGACGAATGAGTGTGCGAGCAGGAGACAGTAACATTGCGGATTTGCAAATTGGTCACGGGTAGATAGATAGTTGTGGTAGTGGGTGCCGGAAGGGATATTGTAAGAAGACAAATCTGCACGCATGTTCCCGCTCAGACCATCCAGCACGCTTTACAAGGGATTTCCATTTTTGGTCGCTGTCGCCTCTCCCCCCCTACACACACCCTCGCCCTGTATCACGCCAAAATAATGAACGCCATTATTATTGTGACTCCAAAAGGTAAGGTATGTCATTATTCTTATGTAGCATATCTCGAGGAGCACGTGGCAGTGTTACTTATGAAATCTGAGAACATCGAGACATGCAGAGCCGATTCTCACGGACCTCCACTTACGACGTTGTTATACTCGTGCCGCTCCTACCCGTCATTTCAGAATGCCCGAGAGTCAACGAGATGCCTTCAAATCGTCGACAACAATGGCGACGACAGCGACTGGAGTCTTCGGGAGGAGGGACGTGAGGATGAGAAGGTATTGAATGTGGGTACGGACCGCTTCTTTCACGTCTACCTCGCTAATGGGTCGTTGCTCGACGGTCCTAGGCCCTACGCGGGCGTAACAACTGCACTCCGTATCAGCAAGGGGAATGGTATCCTTGTCAAGTGTCAACCCCGACGAGTTTAACAACATAAATAATCTACCCCGCGTGTTTTCGGTTGCCCGTTCCCCTCCAACACGGAAAAGTCCACCGCGTCGAAGGTCAAGAAGAGGAAGAAGCCGACCGTGTCGAGGGGGGAGAAGGAGGTTCGTCAGGCCGGTGGACCCTCGGCACGAAAGGATGACGACTGAACGCCTCTTCAGCGAGGGACACATCGCCATCGGCAGCTTCGCTTACAACCACCCTCAGTTCGCGGAGGAGGCGGCCGCGTTCAACACCGTCAAAGTGAACCGGAAACCTGTGAGGCAGACGCAACCCAGCAGCCCCTCCACGTTGCACAAGAGTATCGTCATCGCCGACTACTTCTCTTCGCTGACCCCGTTCTCGAAACAGTTGGAGGGGTTATGCAAGCCGAGACCGAAGACCAACCGCCTGTTCCTGAAGCGGCGAGGTCAGCAGTAAACCCTGTCCGGCCGAAGACACCGCGACGGGAAGAACGGGCCCTGGCGCATGTGCATCACCGCCCACGACCCGGCCGCACCGCCACACACCAAGAGGTCGGAGGTTGGCGTGGCTGACGCCAGCAACGCGAAGGGTGGCGGCGCCTTATACCCACGGCAGCTCAAAGACGACCGCAAACCGGACTCCGTGCGGTTCGACTGTGCAGCTGGATCGTACCATATAATGGACAAGGTCGGCACCGGCACCAACTCCCACGCGCACCACCAGGCGATCATCGACAAGTCTGTCCTTTCGACGCACGAAGCGCTCACCACGTTCGTCATCGACCTCGACCCGATCAGCCCCCACACGTTCGTCGACGACGTCGAAAATATCGCAAAGGGTACTTCGATCGAGGTCAAGGCCGGAGTAGGCGTGCCGGCATACGTGCCCACTCCGACACAGGCGCAGATCGGCCGGTCCCGTGGGTCAACGCAGACGAGCGACTGGCACAGGCTCTAGGAAGAGAACTTGGAAAACTTTGTTCAGGACCGGCGAGAAGGAGGTGAAAAAGAATCGGTGTAACAAGTCGTTGATGAAAGGGCTTCGTATAATTTGGGTGGTTCAGTCTTGTTTGTACGTAATCAACGGTGGGAGGGTGAGGAGGTTTCCCGCATCACTCGGAACTGTTTGCCTTTGGCCCTGATCACACGCCCTGAGACCCAGCCTATTCATATGTGTGTTGACGTTTAGAATGAATTGAATAATGAATGAATGAGTGAGTGAGTGGGTGAGTGAAATTGTGCTTGTGTATTGTCATCTGTCCTATGTCCGAAATTGTGGTTGTCGTTGTTGCTGTTGTTGTTCTTGATGCCCCGCGCCCCATGTGCTCACCGCATCTCCGCTCACTCTTTGTGATGCTACCAAGGCGTGCGATTTGACCCTTTGAATGAAGCTGTGTGGCCTCTGGGCCGAAGATTCGATTGTCAGCTTAACGTGTTGTTGTTGTTGTTGTTGTTGTTGTTGTTGTTATTGTTGACGACGATGGTCAGGCCAAGAGGCTCCACGCCTTCCTACCATGCTCACAACGATTGAATGGCGCGAATATTTCCTAGCGTATGCTCATCGATTTCAGTGAAATTACTCCCTGTTGAATCTTCCCATTCATACCATGTGCACCGATATTCTCGGTGCGCCCCTCCGTGAGTGTATTCCCCGGTATAACTGCCCCCCTTTCGTCAAAATCTTGCTGTATGTACGTGCGATGATAGGCAACGCCAGCCACTTCGGCTCGACCACAGGCGAGACCGTGGCGGGCGCGAAGGCGCGAGAGGCGGCCGCTTCTGCAATCTTCGACGCCGCCGTGGCCGACGAAGAGGCTGCAGAGGCGAAGCAGAAGCTAGAAGACGCGGCCAAGAGGCGCAGGGTCACCGAGAAGGCTAGGGCCGACCAAGTCAAGGGTGGCAAGCTGGAGGGATGTTCGTGCGAGCACGGTGCTGTTGTTGTCGTCGTCGTCGTCGCCGTTATTGGCTGTTGTTGATGCCCCGCGCCCTATGTACTCGCCGCATCCCCGCTCTCTCTTTGCGATACTACCAAGGCGTGCAACTGACTTGTTGAATGAAGATGTGTGGCCACTGGGTCGAAGATTTCGATGGTCAGCTTATCGTTGCCTCTGTTTGTTGCCTTTTAGTCGAGTCATTTCCGCCCTCCCTTATTCGTTCGCGGCACACCCCATCTACTCTCGGCATCACCGCTCCCGGCTCAGTAGAATGCATCGATACCAAGGAGTGCGGTTTGACCCGCTGGCTGGAATATTTATCCCTCGTCATTCTTCACTTTTATTTACATCGACCCCCTCCCTGGCGCCTATTTAATCGTCTGTTTCCCTCTTCTTTGCGTTGTCGGTTTAGTGTTCCGGACAGTCAACACGTGCTCCCATGACGGCTGTGCTTGCACCAGTGCCGAGGTTGGCAAGTGCGTGTGCGGCGAGGATCGCCCCCACACCAAGAACGCTTCAGTGGGCGGTGAGTGACTCATTGTGTTTATTTACTTATGGAGGATGGACTACACGATACCTCTGGTGCTGCTGTTGTCATGCTTGTTGCCATGCTTGTTGTTGTTGTTGTTGTTGTTGTTGTTGTTGTTGTTGTTTTTGTTGTTTTTGCCCAATAGAGTCATTTCCGCCCTCCCTTATTCGTATGCGGCACACCCCATTTACTCTCGGCATCACCGCTCCCTGCTCAGTAGAATTTGTTGATACCAAGACGTGCGGTTTGACCCGTTGGCTGGAATGTTGTGGCCTCGAGGTCCAATAGGCAACAGTGTTGAGTTATTGTGGTAGTATTATGACCAGGTGGTATTAGCTTCCGTCCCCCAGCCCCCGTGTACACACGGCGCTCCCCGCTTCCTTTTGCAATTTAATGCGATGCTACCAATGCGTGTAACTGACTCTGGATCGAGGATAAATTGTGACAATGGTATTTTGACGGTCGAATGCATAATTGAGTGAAATAACTCCCCCGCCTGTTGTTGCAACAAGTACGCGCTTTTGACGCGTCTCTACAAGTAGAATAACTGTGGTGGACGGCCCAATGGCCGAGAAGTGGCGGCTGACGATTAGGCTCTGAAAACGTCGTACGTGTGTTCGCTCCTGGATGTCTCGTCGAACGTGGCGTTGGTGTTGCGCCCGCACAGGGTCTGGTCGAGGCTCCAAGTAGGGGCGAACCGACCACGCCCGAGGCGGTGCCGGTGTCCGCGGAGATATCACGCTCGCGAGGGACATCTTTCGACCCCGCCCCGAGTCTACGGAAATCCCGCCCTTCAAGAGCCTCAGGTGCCCGCAGGAGGGTTGCGGCAAGGTACACAAGCTCGGGGACCGGTGGTTCTTCGACATCCTCCAGAAGAGGTGGAAGTACGTGGGACTCAGGTGTCAACCCAAGGGCGGTCATTCGGCGGCGGAGATGGTACCGTGTTCAGACGAGGAGGGGAAGGAGAAGTACGGCGACAAGGAGATGAAGACGTTGCCGTTCGTCGGGAACAACAGGGCCTCCAAGATAGTGAGGGTACAAGGATGCATACACGGTGTGGCTGATGGGGGATGCGGCACGGTTGGAGGAGGAGAGGCGATACCTGGAGTATGGCACGGAGACAGAGTCCCACGTCGACTTCAACGACGCCGAGACTTACTACCAAGAGGGCTCTGTGTGGCCTAGGGGTCAGGGATAGCGTCGATGAGCCTGGTCGACCTGTGCAGCCAGATCCACCCTGATCCGGTCGAGGAGGGAGCTTCGGGTAGCCAGGTCGAGAGTTGAAAACGACGGCTGTGTACACCCTGTGGTGCCGTTAGAGGGACGGGGGCTAGAAAGAAGCCGCGCGAGAACTTCCAGGGGAGACGAGTAGAGATCATCCAGTTTGGTCAGTTAGGGATCGGATTGCGTCGTACACATTGAAATCGAATCGTTATGTCACTTGGCGACAGCTTTCATTCAGGCACTAGCGAGGGCTTTTTTCGAGCAGGCACGATCATCCTCGCGTGACGTACCGTGTACATTGGTTGCTGCCGGTGTCGCTGTAGAATCACCCAAGTGGTCATTTTTGTTCCGTAGGTGGCGTAGAGAGAGATAGAGAAACGGGAGTTATTACGTGGTCCATCATCATATATTCCGTCACGTAGATTTTTGGTCGGCAGATCCAGCGTGTTTATCCTCACTCAGAGTTTGTTGTACGATCACCGCCCGGTTGAATGTGAATGCTTGGCGGCCACGATTGTTGTCGTGTGACGTGTAGTGTGTTTTGCTTACTACCGCCGTCGTGAAATTAACAAAGAACATCGGTATGTATGTGTTGCCATGTTCCGAGGGTGTGTAGAGTGAGATATATATATATATAGAGAGAGAGAGTGTGTTTAATACGTATCTCGTCATCAATGTTTCCTTTGCGCAGCTTTTTGGTCGGTAGATGCAATGTGCACGGGGTCTGCCGGGATAAAAGCCGTTGTTATGGCTTGAGATTTCTCCTTTTATGTGATCATATATCCTTGTGGTGGTGTGTGTGTGTTCGTGCATCACAAAACCCCGATCATGGCAGAGAAGAAAGAAGTGTTTCTCCCGGGGTGTTAGTCTCAGCCATTCGGGCGTGTCTGAATATTTTGTTTCGTACATCTTGCGTCGGTGGTGGTGGGGTGAAAATTCGGTGAAATTTGTGTGAAAATTGAAAATTTGGTGAAAAATTGTACAGTGTGCAAGACAAAACCCGAATCAAGGTAGAGCAGAAGTGTTTCTCCCGGGGCTTTAGTCTCAGTCAATGCATGTGTCTGAAGTTTTTGTTTCAGACTAACTTGTACAGATGGTGGCCTGAAAATTGCTGGGGAATAGAAAAATATGTATGTAATAGACTACATTTTTTTATCACACACTGGATATCCAGTTGCGAGTTTTCGGCCGGCCACTACTGATGATAATGTGGTACGAATGGAATAGACCACCGGTTATCGGCGGTACAACATCATCATGTACTACTGCTGCTGTGTGATTTCGATGGTGGCTGCTACTACCATGTCGCATACTTTGTGTGTGGTGAATGAAGTCTGGATGGATGGATGGATGGATGGATGAATGGGAATATATAATGCAGTGTGGAGTGAGTGGTGGTTCAAGAGTGCTCCAGCAACCACAACACGCACAAACTCAGTCGGTCGGTATGGTGACATACATCCGCGGACACCCCCATCCAACGAGACGTACTACTGCTCTTGGTAGCTGGTGCTTGGTCTCTCTCTGTTGGGTACGTTATGACTCGTGTATTTAGATATTATGTAAATACCCTGGCACAGTGGTGTAGAGGCTGTGTCGTCGACGTTAGCCGAGGTGATGACACGTGCGAGAGGGTAGCCTGGAAGACGAGTGTTCTTCCACGTAGTGAAGAAGATGGTGAGATATTGGAACACTGGCGCTTTGGTGGCCAACATAATCCGGGAGGATCACACGAGAGAGTGAGCTACTCGGCTATCAAGCACCACGCAGAGAATCCGTCCGCATACACATGTTTATACGTTACATTCGAACCGACATCCGAACCGACACATATGAGATCTACGATCACAAGAGCAGTGCCACTGAATATTGATTCATACTGGTTATGTGCTTACATTTTCATAACACTCCCCTTCCATGAAAGTTGCTCTGAATTGTACCAAAGTACAGTGATGAAAATCAAATCAAGCACTCGGTTTCTGCGCAACGTAACTCATTCGTTTCATGCGTTTCAAACACTAACGTACCAAGTGATATTTCATGTTTTCCGCGTGCTACAACACATCTTTTATGCGCTTGCAAAAAGTACCTGCTATTGTTTCTTGCATAAACAAAAGCACCATAACTTTCAATCCTACATGGCTCGATCAACCAGTGATGGTGTGAGGCCGAATGTTGACTACTGAAAGACTACGCTGATTCACACAAACAGAACAGATGCAAAAATACTTCGTAACAAACACACTAACAAAAACACGATTACTTGAACTTGTTGCTGATGAAGTCGTCGACGTTGAAACTGCTAATGATGTCCAGCAGGTGTTTCAGCCGATGCTTGTTAAGATGCTTTGTCCCGATGTCGGCAGGGTTGCTGTCCGTCGGGATGCAATTGATCGATATCCGTCCTTCCGATACGAGCTCTCGGATGTAATAGAAGCGAAGTGCGATATGTTTTGTCCTCGAGCTGAATGAGCGGTTTCCAAGCGCGTGCAGCGTCGCCGTGTTGTCGCAGTACAGCGGGACTTGCGCAAACTGTTTGCGGCCTACGCCACTTATTTATCGGGTGAGACTATTTTGGTGATGTGTTAACTTCACGGGAGGTAGACGACCGTCCTTCACACGGACGAAAGAGGGAGTGCTCAAAGAGCGGCTCCCACAGCAAGGAGGGGCCCCGTGAATCATCGCGGTGCCCCCTATCAAACGGTTATCTTACCAGTCTGCGTGACACAAAATCATCCAGCACATGTATCCAACAGCAATGTTCGCAGACTCACGAACACCCTCCCTGGTTCTTCACGCAAGTGACTAACCATCAATTGGGCAAGAACGCCCCAGGATACATCAGAAAATACCAACATGGTAACATATGGAGGGGAAACCTGGCGTCCGGGCAAAACCCCTCAAGGAAAAACCCTCTCACCACAAAAAAAACGTCGCTATCACAGCGGCTTACAACAGCCGCACTTACCAAAAAATCCAAGGCAAGTGCTAAAAACTGCTACATCTACTCCGGCAAATTCATCAGCTTGCGCCGGTGGTACTGCAGACTGACCCTGCTAAGGGCCTTGGTAAGGAGGTCCGCGTGTTGCTCCGTTGTCG